AAATATTAATATCTAATTCTTGTTCCTCTATTGTGCGCAGACCCTTAAATATTGCCTCGTTATCGATTAAAATCGGGCAAAAGAAAAATTATCTAAATCACCGACGAGATATTATTAAAGACCGTCAACCCTGGCAAATTTTCGGCGGTATAAAAAAGACCCCAAGGGCCCGGAGGTAATTCAAGAACGCTGACATTACCGACAATTGATATAAATTTGCTATTATTAACATAAATATTTAGCTCATACATTATTAAATTCATGATTTTTTATTACATAAATGTCCTATAAATAAATATATATACTTGTAAAACTGTAATATCCTATATATTGCAAAAAAATCACAATTTTTTCTCTGCAATTATCATCTTTATATTGATGATCAAACTTTGATGATAACACTAAAATCTCGATTTTAAAGAAAAATCGAGTATTATTGAGTTATAAATGCATAAATACGTCTACTAAACTAATAAATCATAGAATTATTACAATATTATCAGTTTTTAACTCTTAATCACTTCAATATTCACAAGGACGCGAACTCCCGTAAGGATGTCGGTCTTTAATAGTATCTCGTCGGTGTCTAAATTTAAAAAAAATATCTAAACGAGGAAAGATAAATTTTAATTTCTTTAGATTTAAATCTGCCGTTTTAACTACGACGAAGATGGAACATGTGTATATTATGCCGCAGTACACTAACCATTATTTTTTTAAAACGCTGATTTACTACGTTTACACGGCACTCTTTACGCCGAAGTTATAACATCAATGTTATGAAACTGGCCAATCATAGCTGTTCCTCTGAAGAATGGAATGACTGTGATTGGTTAGTTCCATAACATCGATGTTATAACTTTGGCGTAAATCGAACCGTGTAAACGTAGTCATTGGGTGCTTTCCAGCAAGGACACAATCAAACACAGTGTAACACGGTGAATCGTTTCATCCTTGTTTAACGTAAGCAAACAACAAGGACGTATGATTCACTGTGTTACACTGTGTCTGACTGTGTCCCTTGCTGGAAAGCACCCTTTGACTGTCCGGATATTGGATAGTTAAGCGGGGAGCACAGACTCTTGCATAACGCATAACACATGAGGCATAAGAAATTGAACCAACCAGAGTTCTCTATTACATGGAAGGGAAAGAAACGGAGAACTTCGATTGGTACATATTCTTATGCATTACGTGTTAATTGCCAGATTGGACGCGTTCAAGTTGACAAACTGACTGACCTACTCGTCGAACAAATGAACATAATTGGTTGTTACTTATAGATCCAACCAATTATATTCAATCGCTCGGCAAGCATGCTTTGCCGTCTTGAATTTGCCCATTGATTGAATTTGAAATGATTCGAAAAAGATGTTTAATCTTTTTAGCGGTTCGCGCTATTTATATCGTTAGCAATAAATAATGAAGTAAGCGAGCTGATTTTCAAATAAAATGAGTGCTTGAACGCGTGAGATGGTAATAATTTATAGGATACTTGTATTTTTCCTACTTTTAACGTGTTATTTTTGGAAAATGTCGGTTCAGTATATGGGGAATAGGGTTATGTCAACTATGTTATATGTTTATAACTTGTAATTTATTGATAAAATAATTCAGAATGAAAGAAAGAAAGCCAAGTGTGTCTATCCAATCAATTAAATTGAAGTATCTAATCGTCTAACCGAAATCTATCTTTTTTAATGACGTGATGGAGTTGTTAAGTAAGAATAGAATAGATTATATATTTGTATCTTGTACTTATATAATGTATCTCTTTTTTTGTATGTACGCAAGATTCGATCATTGGCTCCTAGTCAAAGAGGAAAGCGGCCTTTGCTCTTGGATATACCACATGACATTGTAGAATTAACTCAGTCTGAAAATTGTACACAAGAGTCCAAAAGAAGAACCAAGAATGTCAAAGATATACAAATACCAGAACGCAAAGCTGTTCCTCTTTCTGATAATGGTATCTGCACGATGCAAAAAATAATATCCGAGCACGTAAGTTTACTTATAAACCATTACAATCTTTGTTTTATACCTTTATTAATTTTATTGCTGTAATAAAGTAACATATGGTATTGGATTAGGAAGAGAGAGTAAGGAAACTTCTCAGTAAACCTTTTCAAATACCAATACCTGGTTACCAATTATCTGGACGAGTTCTTGGATTACGTCTACCAGGACCACGTAGGCCATTGCATGATCCTGACGAACCCAACGCATTAATTGTTTATTCACCACCAGAATTATCAGAGCATGATAGACTGAAAGTAGATCCGTACGTATTAATGTATTTCTAAATATATGCATATATCTTATACTTCTTATAGTACAGCGTAATTGCAGTTTATGTTTAAAATCATATATTTTAAGATCAAGTTATATATATTTAACTTTTGCAGATGTAAGCAACTTGTACATGTAGTTGTAGATCCTGTATTGTGCAATGTGTTACGACCGCATCAACGTGAAGGTGTCAAATTTATGTATGAGTGTGTAACAGGCAAATGTATAGAAAATGCATATGGCTGCATCATGGCAGATGAAATGGGACTTGGTAAAACATTGCAATGCATAACTCTGTTATGGACGTTGTTGAAGCAGGGTAAAAAGTGTTTAAAGTTGACAAAATTAAAAAATAGAAAGAATAATATAATAAAAAAATATTTGTGTTCTGTATAGGTCCAGAGGCTAAACCACTAATAGAAAAAGCAATTATAGTCGCGCCTAGCTCTTTGGTGAAAAATTGGTACAACGAAATTAACAAATGGTTGAATAATATGGTCAACACTCTTGCTATCGACGGAGGGAAGAAAGCAGACATTGACACGCAACTCATCCGTTTCATGAAAACTTATGGCAGATGTGTAACTCCCATTCTCATTATAAGTTATGAAACGTTTCGTTTACATGCACACGTTCTGCATCAAGATGAAGTGGGCCTCGTATTGTGTGATGAAGGTCACCGTTTAAAGAATTCTGAAAATCAAACGTATCAATCCTTGATGGGTTTGAAAGCTAAAAGAAGAGTGTTGCTTAGTGGAACGCCAATACAAAATGATCTTTTGGAATACTTTTCCCTCGTACACTTTGTTAATCAAGGATTATTGGGAACTGCGCAGGTAAACAATTATCGTATTTATTGCCTATTATACTAGCATATGATTATTTTAATGCATATGATATATAAACTATCACTGAAATTATTCTTTTAGGAATTTCGAAGAAAATATGAGACGCCCATATTACGTGGCCAAGACGCGGCTGCAACAGACGCAGAACGTACACTCGCTCAAGAACGTTTGTCTGACTTGGTATCCATTGTTAATAAATGTCTGATTAGACGTACTAGCGCTTTACTTTCGAAATATTTACCATTGAAACACGAACTCGTGGTATGCATAAAGATGGGAGAGCTGCAAACGCGGCTGTATAAGAATTTCATACAAAGCGATAGTATAAAAAGATCTATGGAAGGTATGAATTTAATTCTTTAAATAACAATCTTTAAGATAAAAAGCAATGTCTTGCCAGTATTATATAATGAAACGTATGAAATATATATATTTATTTTATATTCTTCTAATATATAGAGAATGATAATCCAAAGAAAGCAGGCAGTCTGTCTGCTTTAGCAGCCATAACTCTCTTAAAGAAGCTGTGCAATCATCCCGACTTGATATATGACAAAATCAAGGAAAAGGCAGACGGATTCGAAAAAGCTGCATCATTGTTACCACCAAATTACTCTACAAAGTAAAATTAATTTATTATTTGATGAAACGCGTCACTAAATAAACGAGAAATATTTATTTTAGAGAACTGATGCCAGAATTATCAGGCAAACTGATGGTTCTGGATTGCCTACTAGCGTCTATTAAAACTACAACCAACGACAAAATAGTACTTGTATCCAATTATACGCAGACTCTCGATTTGTTTGAGAAACTCTGCCATAAACGTTCCTATAATTATGTGAGGCTCGACGGGACGATGACAATTAAGAAGAGAGCGAAAGTAGTCGACAATTTTAACAGTGACAGCAGTAACGATTTCATCTTTATGCTCAGTTCGAAAGCCGGTGGATGTGGTTTAAATCTTATAGGTGCAAACCGTCTCGTCATGTTTGATCCAGATTGGAATCCCGCAAACGATGACCAAGCGATGGCCAGAGTGTGGAGAGATGGTCAGAAGAAACCGTGCTTTGTTTATCGTTTTCTTTCTGTTAGTATTAGAATAACAGTATTTTTGTCAAACAATAAGTAATGAAAATATTTTCTTAGTAATATACAAATTGTATATTTATTTATAAATAATTAAATCGATAATATACATATTAAACGATGTAATATGTTTTATATTTCCAGACTGGAACGATAGAGGAGAAAATTTTTCAGAGACAAGCCCATAAAAAAGCATTGAGTTCCACGGTGGTCGACCAAGAGGACGACGTGGCGAGACATTTCACCATAAACGATTTGCGCGATTTATTCAAGTTGGAGGAGAATACTGTTTCTGATACGCATGCAAAGTATGAAATCGCCAAAACTATTTTTTATTTTAAAATTATTTGCATATATATCTGAAACAACAGTAATACTATTATTCTTATTTAGATTCAAATGCAAACGTTGTATTAATGGCATCGAGGTGAAAGGTCCTTCGGAGCAATCCGATTGCAATTCCGATCTGTCCGACTGGCGACACTCATATAATCCACGGCATTTGCCGGATATACCGTTACGACAATGTTGGACTAGCGGTATTTCGTTCGTTTTCCATCATCGTTCGCATGAACAAATAAAATGACTCTTGTCTAATGACAATCTGTTGGTAATTTATTTCGAAATTTTACATAATTGTAAGAGTTAGATATTGCAAACATCGACAAGAAATATTGTAACTGTAACAAATTATCTTGTTAAAACATTTATTTAAGCAAATTTAGTTTTTCTTTCTTGAAAATAAAAATGTAACAGCCCAGAATTTTACTTTAATATATAATTTTTTTTAAGTACACGTTTATTGTATTCATAATTCAATTGATTTTGTAAAAGATGGTCGCAAAACATGCCTCGCAAAAACGCAGGTGCAATTTATATCAATATAAATGTGCCTTACATTTTATGTAAATAAGTTAGTTGCGTTCATGTATAAAAAAAAAAATAATTTTGGATAAAAATAAGGGATATATTTTTAATACCTTTCTCCAGAGATGTAAATACATAAACTTTGAAACAATACAGTATTTAAGATGTTATTAATAAGAAATATTTCATTTATATACGAAAATAGAAAATATTTTTGTGTTATAAATACTTGTGATATATACATTTTTGTTGAAATGAATAAAGGAATGAATATAAGATGTTCACAATAATTTTAAAGATTTTAAAGAAATTCTTGAATTTTAAAGAATTTCTCTGTTGGAAGTTGATGAGGAACAAATTATTCTCTAAAGTTGTGAATTTTTAACTTTTAGGTTTTGTGATTTCCACACATATAAAATATTCAAGTTCAAATAAAAATTGTAAAAAAAAAACTTAAAACGGTGCGTCAATTGATTATTATTAATAATATCGTACGAATATATCCTTCAAAGTAAAATTTGTTTCAGCATTTTTTGTGTAAAACCAATCGATTGTTATATTTCTCCCCTTATCAATTTTATATTCTCTGATAATCTTTTCATGTACGTTTTATCTAATCAAGTGAAAAAGAATTTTTTTTATCGTTGGGATAATGCTGCATTTACTAATCGTTGCAAAAACAAAATCATAGTTCGTTTAATAACTTAATAAGTAAACAACATGCATGCGCAACATAATGATGTGCAAGTATTGAAAAAAAAAAGATTTTAACGATAAGCAGGTTGTACAATGTATGTACAATCTTTCATTATCATTCTCCATGTTGATTTCGCGTGGCTCGTGAATCCCGTGATCACCCGTGATCGCGCGCTCGGGAGATACGCCGAGTCACCTGCGCTCACGAGACCGAATGTTTTCAGATCGCGCAGTAGATCTGATAGGCGTCACGCCTTTTGCAGCAGTTCCGTATGCGGGACAACACAGCGACAGCGGTATCGAGGAATTTTGTCTCGCGCAGCGGTGATGGGCGGTGAGCGGTAATAGTGAGAGATCGGCCGCGGCCCGCGCTTGGGTCGCTTGGGTTGCTTGGGACGGGGAGTACGGGGACTGCGAGAAAGAGGCGCGGCGGGACGGGGAAGATTGGTTTGTGAGATTTGTCGACGCGGGAGGTGAGCGGGCGCGCGGCATACGACCACGTGATCGACAGACGCGGCACGTGATTGGCCGAGCCGCGCGTCGCTTTCCCTCCTGACCCGCTGCTCGCTTGTTCCGCCACCGCGCCATCCGACGGTTTCCGCAACGAGCGTCTGGCTGGGAGGCTCAGAATAGTTCCAGATGTGGCCATGTTTAGTTTCGATCTCCGAAGTTTTGCGCTCATCGTCATATAAACCGCTACATTTTTATACTGACTGCTGAAAGAGTAAATAATACGCATCTGTCCGACCGATCTCGTACTCTTCGTCTTTGCCTGCGACTCATTTATTCGCTGCATATCCACATGCTGTTTTAACGCCCTTGCCGAGAGATCCGAATCTCTGAACGACGCAAAGACGCGAACGAACGAAAGAGAAAGAAAGACGAAGAGAGAGAGAAAGAGAGAGACATTTTGTTTGTCGTTGTCGCGTTTGACCGTCGCTCCGCCGATCTCGTTCCGACGGGACGTCGGAGCAACGCGAATCCGTGACACCTTTGGATTCTCCAACTCCGAGATTGCGAGATTTTTCGTTCTCGTTCGTCCCGTACCGTATGTTCTTCATTCTCTCGGCAAGAATCGCGAAGCATTGCAAAAATCCGCTCCGTCGCTCCCTATCTCTGTTGCTCTCGGGATACTGAATGTTCGTCGTTATTTGGAGAAAGAGAGAAAAGAGGGAGGGAGAGAGAGAGAGAGAACCAACGTCATTGTCGTAAGAGAATTTCGTGCCTTCGTACGGTTAAAATCGCAGAAGTGAAAGCATCGTTTATTTCGGGGAAGGGGGTGAAAAAGAACTTCTTATATCCGAGAGAAAGAGCCGCTTTCTTTTTCTTTCTCTCGATCCCTTCCCCCTCTTCCTCCGCCGCTCCCGTTCCCTCGCCCCCCCCCCCCCCCCC